GGGTGTCAGAAAAGTCAGTCTTGCAAGGAAGCTCATTTTCCATTGGAAAAAAAAAAATTGTAATTAATAAATTCTTCACTTCTTTAGAATTAAGGACTCCAGAAGTTTTTTAATGTTTTGTGTTTCCTTATTTAACTTGTGGGAATGTTATTCCTCCTAGTCCTGAAAATAGCAAAAGGGGATTAATGGAAAGGTTGAATGTGCTCTGGATCAGGTCAGAAATGTCCAACATCTATTTATTCCATGTCCTCTCATACACAGTGTGAGCACCTGGTGCTCAACAGTGACTATTTATACATTTCTTTTCTACACAGAATTGTTTTAGACCCCAGCAAACTCTTTAGGGATATCTAAATATTAGTTTCCTTAAATAAAACCTAAATTCTGCTATGGAATAGAGTCAGTAGTTCTTAGAAGCATTTGTAGATCAATTTAATTTAATCAGATGTGACAGTCTGGGAAAATGAATAACATGCCAGATGCTTTCTGCATTTTATAGCAACAGCAAAATTCCTTTGCAAAATATTATACAGGAAAAAGAAATGCAGCACCAACAGCCTCCAAGTTCAAGGGGTCATAGAAGATTCTTAAATTATTCTTCCTTATTGCTGGTCTCTGAAGGATTTGGAATATCAATTCATGTCATGAATTAGAATTTATAGAACTCAACTAGCAGAAGAGGCTTGGAAGTTCCTGAAAATTGCAGGGCTTTCTTTCTAGCCCAGAAAAAAAACCAAATTGCAGGCAATTACCTTGGCCCGGTTTGATTGTCTGCAGTGCAAAAATACAAGAATAGCACAAAACCAAGGGCATCTCCCTGCAGATCTGCCCTGGATCTCCCCACCTGGGGGGGCAGAGGGGCAGGGAAGGGAATGGTTTGGAAGGGAGGGGGGAATGAGGAGGGATTGTTGTATCTGCTCAGTGGCTCCGTGGGTGTTCAGCCAGAACAGGGTCATTCGTGGCCATCAGAGCAGGAGTGGGACCTCTGGCAGTGGTGGAGCTCGGTGGGGTTTGTTCCCTGAGCAAAGCATTCCATGACTCTGCTCCAGGTTACAGCACAGGCACTGTAGCCTGGGAGCTCTTGGCAGTTTTGGGGATAAAATTCCGTACTTGATTCCTCAGCTGAGCTCACCCTCCCTCTGTTTGCAGCTTTAGGACCTGGTATCTTCGCTCCAATGGAGTGCCTTTGTTCCATGTCCTGTTCTGCACATGGGGCTGCAGTGACCTCACTCATCCCCTTTTTGAAGTCCCACTGACTGAGTTTCCAGGAATTGATGATTTTAATTCTTCCCCCAGGACGATGACGTTTCCCTGACTCATCTGTGAGTCACACACAAAAGCCACAGGGCTCTTGAGGTGGTTGGTGCCACAGATAACTCCTGCCTTTGAGGGGCCTTTGGCTGATACTGGCAGGTCTTGGAAGGGAGAAGAAGCAAAGAGCAGGACTCTGGTTTGGGTGGAATTTTCCAGAAGGTGTTTTCTAGCACATGGAAGCCCCGGGATGAAATATTTTTGTCTCCCTCCAGCTCTGGTGACAGGGATGAGGTGTATTTTGGAGGCACACAAGGAGCTTATGATCCTGTAATCCTGTCTGGGATTATTCCCTTCGTGCACCTTCAGGAGCTCCTGCCCGGGGAGGAGATGTGGATGAGAAGTTTGACACATGCTCAGCTTTTCCTCCAGGAGCTGATGTGAACAATTAGTTGATGAATAATTCACACAACAGTCCTGAACACATCAGGAGAGGGAAAATCCATGACCTGCTCCCTCCCTGCACACGTCAGAGGGTGTTTGATTCCTTCAGTGATGCAGCTTGCTGCAGGATGCTGGCAGGGGGCTGGGCTGGGGGACACGTGTTCTGCTGGGGGGGTTGTGACATCCAGCAGTTAAAATGTGGTGGGAATGACTAGAATTGCATCTTAATTGAAAGAAAACCCAAAATACTCCTATGAGTGATGACAACTATGATGCTCTTGTCCAGCTATCTTGGGAATCATCAGCTCTGTCAGAGGCACAAGTCTTTGCTGAGGGCACAGTCCCATCCTGAGAGGTAAATTAGGTGATGACTGAGACTCAAACAGGTTTTGAGTGGTTTGGTACCTCTAAATAGGTGTTGAACTGCCTGAGCCACCACCCAAATGCTCTGCCTGCAGATGGGCAGCTTGGCAGGAGTTACTCTGAATAGAACAAGGGGAATGAAAAGCACCTGGTGTTCAGGGGTGACAGAAAGAGCCTGTGAAGCTGCAGCTGTACCTGCTGGTTTTGACAGGACTCCCCTCCCTGTTTCTAAGGAAGGGCTCAGCAGTTTCAAAGCAGGTAGGAAGGTAAACTCCACTTCCCCTGCAGTCAGTGCTGTGTGGGCAGGAGGCTCTTGGGTCGTCTGTCCCTCAGCCAGAACACTCCTGAGCACTCGCTGGTGAGCTCAGCTGCCTCTGGGTAAGCCGTGGACAGTTCACCCCTCCCCAGTTCTGCACAGAACTTCCTGAGCTGCAGGAAGGGGTTTAACCCCTTTCAGTTCCACCACGTAAGGGGCTCATCAACACTGAGGCCCCACAGGTATCACCCAGCATTTTGTGTCCCACATGGGCACGTCCAGATGGGTAAAGCCCTGTCAGGACCATGTGAGTCCATCTCTCCAGGCTGTCCTGCATGTCTGTGGGATAAAGCCCAGCTTATAACACAAGGCTGCTAGAGAGAGGGTGAACTTCCTGAAAGCTTCTTGTGCCTGTAACCTCAGGTGTAGCCAAACTCAAGCCCTGACTCCCCTTTTAACCACAGTGCCTTCTCTTCTTTTCTCTTTGGTCCCTGAAGCCAGCACCAGCCCCACCTCAGGCCTGGGCACCGCTGCCATCATTGGCATCCTGGTCGTGGTGTTCGTGGCGCTGCTGGTGGCCGTGGATGTCACCTGCTACTTCCTCAACAAGTGCGGGCTCCTCATGTGCATCGCTGTCAACATGTGCGGCAAATCCGGCCCCGGGGCCAAGGGCAAGGACATGGAGGAGGGAAAAGCTGCCTTCTCGTGAGTACTGCCCCTCCCACAGCGGGCTGGGGCTTCCCCAGCTCTGATGGGGGGATGCTGGGGAGGTCTGGGGTTCCTTGTGCTTCCAGGAAGGTGTTTCTGCAGTGGTGGCTCTGGTTTTGTCTCGTTCCTGTTGGTAGCCATCAAATAGGTGGCCCAGTGGACAACCCAGGGCTGGACATCCCAGGGCTGGACATCCCGCTGGAGTTCTGTGCTGTGGGGAAGGAGAAGGGACCCCAAGGAGTGCCCCATGATTTAGCCCAGTGTGTCTGTCTCTCACTGTGGACGTTTGCAGCGTGTCTTTGCAGGAGGGTTCCTGTGAGGGGGCTCCAATGCCGGTGCAATTCCTTCCTTGCAGGAAAGATGAGTCCAAGGAGCCCATCGTGGAGGTGCGGACGGAGGAGGAGAGGACCCCCAACCACGACGGGGGCAAACACACGGAGCCCAACGAGACCACCCCGCTGACAGAGCCAGAGTATGTTGGCATTAGCCAGTCCTAGCCCAGGGTCACTGCAGTGCCCTCAGCTGCCCTAATCTCCTGACCGTGGTGTCCCATGAGCACAACTTAGGGCAGGAGGAGGGGAAGGAAGGTAAAACCTCCACTCTGCGTTTGTGACGTGCCAGGGAGGAAGAGCCTCCTCTCAAGGTTGGGTGACTCCTGTTCCCAGCACTGGAATGGAGCAGTGTGTCCTGAAAGGCCTGTCTGTGCCAGCCCTGCCCGGTGTGGAGATCAGACACTGCAGAGGATCCAGAGCAGAGCCAGCCCCGGCCGGCACCGAGTGCTGTGTGAGCTGGATGAGACCTGAACCCCTCTGAGAGCAGCAGAGTAGCTGATGTGGAGCAGAGGCTCTGGTGTGGAGGAGGCAGAGCAAGTCTGAGGACTCTGAGAGAGGGCTGAGAGCTGCCTGTGAGCTTCATTCACATCAGGGAACTGATCTGGGGCCTGAGTCTGTGTCATGTGCATGTGAGGAAAGGAAATGTGTTCTGGGTGGCTTGGTGAGGGCCTTGCAGGCCTTCAGGTCAACCTGCAGGTGAAAGGACAGGGCCAAGGTGAGGGGTTGGGTTCAGGGGTCCTACGCTGGGACCGTGTGGTGACAGATGGCACAGGGCTGCAGGCTCAGGGCATCGGCAGAAAGCTTCCCTGGGAAGCACTGAGAGCAGAGTTAGGCTGAGAGAGAAGAGTCTCTGCGAGGTGGCAGGTTTCCATTTGCCTCAGAGCTGAACCAGAACTCTCCAAGAACAAGCCATTCCTGCAGGTCACATCCTCTTTGCCTTTTTTTCTCTCCTGGTTATCCTCACTCTTCCCTCGCTCCCTTTGCATGTCTGACCTCTGAAAATCTCTGCTCCTCTTGAGTCCCTCTCCGTGTTGTGTGTGTGTGTATGTTGTAACCAGCTGGTACTCCTCACTCTCCCTCTCTGCCCCCCCTTCCCCTGCTGTCGTTTGGGGGCTTCATTGTCTCTATTTCTCTTCTGCCCCTGTCCCCCCCGCAGGCACCCCGCCGACAGCGCAGCCACCGTGGAGGACATGCTGCCTTCTGTCACCACGGGCACCACTAACTCTGACACTATCACTGAAACCTTTGCCACTGCCCAGAACAGCCCCACCAGCGAGAGCACCACGCTGACCTCCAGCATTGCCCCTCCGGCCGCGGCCGCCCCCGACTCCAACTCCGTGGCGCCCGGCCAGGCCACCCCGGCCAAAGGGGCGGCCGCCGCCTCGGTGTCGTCACCGCCACCCTCCTCCACCCCCAAAGTGGCCCCTCTCGTTGACCTCAGCGACACCCCGAGCTCTGCTCCGGCCGCTAACAGTTTGTCTTCAAGTGTCCTGTCGGGCCAGGGCGCGGTGCTCAGCCCCAGCGCCGCCACCGAGGCCTCCAAAGCAGCGGCCGGGAACAAGCCGGCTGCCCCCGGCCCTGCCAACCTCACGAGCCCTGCAGCTCCATCAGAGCCCAAGCAGGAGGCCTCCAGCGCCAAGAGCCCCGAGAAGGAGCCTGTGCCGCCCAGCACAGTGAAGAGCCCCACGGAGACACCCAAGAACCCGAGCAACGTGAAGAGCGAGGCTGCCTCGGGCGGCGCCACGAACCCCTCCCAGAACGAGGACTTTAAAATGGACGAAGGGAACTTCAAGACACCAGACATTGATCTTGCAAAGGATGTTTTTGCAGCTCTTGGCACTGCTCCTGCCAGCGTGGCTGGTGGGCAAGCTCACGAGCCTGCTCCTTCCACTGCAGACAGCTCTGTACCCGCTGCGCCTGCAAAGACCGAGTACGGCTGCCTTTACTCTTGTGTTGGTTGTGTGCTGTGTCTCTTGTGCCCTGGTGCTCGTGCTGTGTCCTTGTTGGGTGTTCTCTTAACTAATCTCACTGTTTCCTTAGCGAACTAACTCACCACTGAACCGCCAGGGCTTGGCTTGAAAGGTCCAGGAGGAAAGCCAGGAGTAGGCTGTGCCAGGGAAGCAGAGAAAAGAAACCTGGGAGTTTGTTGGGAATGTGTTATTCCTCAGACTTTTGTGCAGCTCGTGGGTTATTCTTTTGTGGAAGAGAGCAGAAATAGTTCAGTTTGGTGCAAAGGAAGAGCTTTCCTCAGAGGTGCTGAGTTCCTGCAGGTCAATGAGCACAACTACCCAAATTCCATTTCCTGACAGATCGGTGGAAATTCAAATCTTATTCAGTGCGAGGCTGGGCAGAAAAACTAGTGCCATGTGGAACTGTGAAAGCAAGGAACCTGTGGATTTGTCCCTGAGCTGGCAGAAGGATGAGGCAGTGTGGTGCTGTCTGAGAGGGGAGCAGTGGGGTCGAGATAACCTGGCAGAGTGTTGGGTTGGGGATGAGTCTCCACCAGCTGTACCAAGTGTCCTTTCTACCCAGCTGATTAATTCACCCCAGGGCCCTCGGGAGCCTTGTGCCATCTGGAAAGGACCCACTTCCCTCAGCTGAGGTGGGTCTGTCAGCTGCTGGCAGAGCCTGTGGAGATGCTCACACCTCCCTTCCGCTTGGGAAAATTCCCATCTTCCGTGTGCCGCTTCCTGCAGTGTGCAGAGAAATTCTGGGACTGGCTTCCTGTAGGAGAAAAAAAAATAAAAAGGGTTTTCTGCTAAAAACACAGCCTGTGTGACCAGGGCAGTTGGGTGGTCAAGTCAAATTGCTGCGAGTTCCCCTTTTTGCTCACCTGGAGCCCCTGCAGCCGAACCCTTGTCCTGCCTCGTGTTAGCCCAGGGCAGGAGCAGCCAAAGGGATGGATGCAGAGCCAAGTGGAGCTGTGCTGGGGAGGGTTGAGTTTGGTTTTGCTCCTCTCTGCATCAGGAAACGCTCCTTTTGCTCTGCCACAGTGAGGTGTTGGTGCCGCAGAGATGTCCTTGCCTTGTCAGCTGCCTCAGCCTGTGTTTCTGTGCCTCTAAACTGTGCCGTTTTGGTGATTGTTCCCCAGGAAAACCCCAGTAGAAGACAAATCCGAAGCGCAGGTGACAGACAGGAAGAGCCCTCCAGCAGAAGTGAAGACGGTCCCCAACGAAGCCACACAAACAAATGAGAACGAGAGCAAAGCATGATCAGCGGCGCCGCAGCGAGAGCGTTAAATCACAGCCCACACACCCATCTCATTCCTCTAGTGTCTGTTGCCTTTTTTAAAAAACAAACAAACCAGAAAATGCAGAAACGGGGGGAGGGGGGAATGTCTCTTTTATTCTATTATTTTCTTCTCTTCTTCTCTTTTTTTTTTTTTTGTTTGTTTTTTTTCCTTTTGTTTTTTTTTTAATATTTCTAGAAAGATTCTATTCGTTGTGCACTTGCTTTTAAAAAGTAATACATGTTAAAAACAGGGTTAAACCCGTAACCAAATCAGGGCTTGGCTGACCCTGTGTATATTCA